GGTCAAGGTCTCTTTAGGGAGGGGAAATGTGTTTGTGTGTTCATGCAAGGGGTGGGGGGTCAAAGTTCCACTGTGTTCCAGTGCATACCGGTAACTCAGGATGCCAGTAAACTCGTGTAAGTTTCAAGTTGAACATGGAATACTGGCTAAAACAAGTTGACAACAACTGAGAAACCAGGCCTACACAGTTTTCATATATTACGCTATCACTCCAAAGTCCAGACGATTTATATATGGAACTTCCAAAAAACAGCCCACGTTGAATGAATTGTTTTGGTGTTGTCACAAAAACCAACATATTAACATGTATTCAACACAGCCTATTCAACCTAAAGCAATTTAACTGGGCCATTCATTTTACTGCCTTCATAACGGTACAGAAATAAATGTGACATTGCTCTGTAATGCTTATTCCAGGTAGATATATTCCCAATTTGTACTTTTTATAAATATTTATGTTTTGGCAGCAGCAGATATGCAAATGAAAAATACTGGCAACGGCCCACAGTTCCCAAATCAGTGTATCCTTACATTTTCACATATTGTCACTGTTGCGCAAAAACCGCTACAAGAATGTTTTTGCCTCTTCCTGTAAAGTTACCATTTTGGAGATACGAGGTTTTGTTCTGACAGTAATGGTATCTCCGTCATGGACGCACAGTAACAAAAAAACGTTTATTTCTAAGGGAAAAAGAGAGGTTGGAAAATGGTCATATAAAAACAAATTACTGATTGTTTTGGTACATAAAACCACACAATTGTTATAAGTGGACTTAAGGGAAAAGAAAATCCGGGGTTAAAATGCAGGATATGGGTCCTTTAATAAACCTATAAACTCTGTTTTAACACATCTCTGACAAGACGCATCCATCAGGGATCACTCTGGAACTGCAGTAAAGTCAGTCACATGAGATATTTGTGTTTTTCTCCAGCTATTTTCAAAGTGCTTACATGAGTGTTTGGGTTTCATGTTGTTTGTCATGCACATTATCAGGTTTATGGAAGGGCCAGAAAGCCCACCAAGTAAATGAGTGTCCAAACATGACTAAGGGAGTGAGTGTGTTTATGAGTGTGTGCATTTTTTTTCCACAGGAAAAAAGATCCTTTTACCTGTTGTAGTCATTTCCTGCTATAAGACCAGAACTGATTAGCACACATGCCATAGTGGTAAATCATGGCATGCTCTTAAAATAAAGCAGTAAATATAGATATTATGCATTCTACAAAGAGGGCATGTTGCTTATGCACAGAAATTCAGCCACTATCTAATCTGCAGCGAGGAACAGTGTGGCTCTACCTGTTTATTTCTGTAATGTACCAATCAGGAATTTGGCCTGTTGTGCCACACTGAGTCTCTGTTGTTGTCACAGTCCCAAAGACTCGCCTGCCAGTTCCAGGGATTCCTGATTGTGGCTTTATCCACAAGCTTTGCTTTCTGTCAGTCTGATCTAGACTAATTCGGTGCAATGCAGGACTCAAACAACATAAATTAATTTAACAGTGCTTATCCAATATGCAGCCCCACTGGCCACTAACAATGTAGCGCAAATATCATCTAGTACAAGTAAATGCCAAATTACTCAGTAATCTCTTTCTCCCTCCTTTATCTTACTGATTGCTTGTCCATGCCCCTTGCCGTCTCTGTTCCCCATTGTGCCCCAGTGCAGTATATGTTTGGGGTTTCCAACATTACGCAGGGTGAGACACCTTCAAAATGACTCAAAAGAAGCTACACAGGGCACAGTACCGGCCTCAAAAAAGAGCACAAGACCAGCTCCAGATAAAACTGTCTTGGGTGCACAGCCAGAGCTAAAAATAACTCGTTTCTATCCTTTTTCACCTCGGCAGAAGCCTGCACTTCAGTCTGAATACACTGTCCTGTTCTCTGCCACCTAGCCTGTTTACCTCAGGCCGCTTGAAAGCCAGGGAGCCAGCAGTGAAAAGCACTGTGTGGCGATGGAGGCGCATTCCTGTGTAGCTATGCGCTCGCTAATTTACATTCCAACACCACAAAGAGCACACATACCCCAAACCCAGACAGGCCGTCACACTGCCATAGCCAAAACACTGCAGCAGCATCCAAACGGCCCACAAACACAGCAGAGTAACGCTGCCCGCAGGATCAGAGTTCACAGCCTGTCGTCAGGGCACGGCATCATGAACTAGCCCAATAATATGAGACGTTTAACAGGAGTAGTGAACTACGTGAAGTCTGCCAAAATGTACCGTTAGCAGATGTGCTGCTCCTGCGTCGAGGCCTGTCCAGGTGTAAGCTCAGCACGACAGGAAGCAAAACTGTAACATTTCTCAGTACTGATGTGTTTCCTGTAACATGTAGCATGTGCCACAGCATGCTGGGCCAATTAGCCCACATCAAAGAAAGAAGAGGACGAGTCAGCAAAACATGCAGATGCCTGTTCTACTAAAACAAACAGACCCCCACCTGGTTGAAACAGAGAGAGGGAGAGGGAGAGGGAGAGGGAGAGGGAGAGAGAGAGAGGGAGGCAGAAGGAGAGAGAGAGAGGGAGAGAGGGAGAGGGGGAGAGAGGCACAACAGGACAGAGAAGGAGAGAGGGGGGGGAGAGGGGGAGAGAGAGAGAGAGAGAGAGAGAGAGAGAGAGAGAGACAGAGAGAGAGGGAGGGAGAGAGAGGGAGAGAGAAGAGGGAGAGAGAGAGAGAGAGGGCAGAGAGAGGGGGAGAGGGAGAGAGAGAGAGAGAGGGAGAGAGAGAGGGAGAGAGAGAGAGGATGAGTAAGAATCAAAGGTTTATGTGCATTCTGACAGTTCATGACTACTGCCACAAAAAAGGGATGAAAAAAGCAACCCCTACATAAGGCCTAATATGAATACATATACATACAGAAGCAGGGATGTACTTGGTTAACTGTTTGAAGTGCCAGTCTTCAAATGCTAAAAATGCCTATTTGAGTACTTGTTCCGTTTTATTGCAGAAAGACAGAAAATATATAGAATAACAATACAATGAAATACTAATTATGAATATATTATGTTACACTTTGCAGCTACGAAACCCAAGTGCCTTAACGTAAACAAATTATCGTATATGTATTGTTGGATTCCACCAGTTGTTCAGAATTTCTGCATAAATCAGTCACTGAAAGATAAACAAAGTCATTCTGAGTGAAATGGTTCATTGTAGAGAAACTTACTAACTCAGATTCCTTTAAAGTGGTTGGTACAGGAAACAGGACTGCAATGTATAGCCATATGTATAGCAATGTATAGTCGTAACCTATATGAACATGAATGAGTTTTACATGTAATGTTGACAATGGTCAAATTCTGAAAACAATGAAAAATATGTAGATTTATATCAGTTGTCAGGCTTATGCAGGTGTCGCGTAGCCTTATGAATGCTGCCCTTCAGTAAAATGCAACCATTGTTATTATACTTAATGCAGAATAATCAGTATTACACTGAGTACTTCATTTGCTCCGGCCTGTTGAATGTATCGCTGATGCCGGTATGCTTTAAAAAAAATGCTTCTTTTTCGTCTGTTCCAACTTATTAAAATCTCAGAAAATAATATTGTGATGTTTCTTGAGAATCATGAAAATGTCTTAATAGCATCGTGATCATCAGTAGGTGATATGTTGGTTCATTCGGTATACAGGTGGAAATTTTTGTCAGTACGTTTTTCCCGGTATGCCACAAATACCACACAAGTAATATATATATAATTCTCCAATCGTGATGTTACATTTTTACCATATCACTCACCCCTACACACATGCGAGCACGCACACACACACACGCACACATTCCTTCCCACTCTTACACACCCTTCCACCACCTCACTCACACACAGGTGCTGCCTCTCCCTCTCTCTCCCTATCCCTCACGCTCTCTTCTCTGTCTCAACTCTACGATAAACAAATGAGTCAGCCAGGGCTTGCTGAGAACACTGACTCACTCTCCCCTCATTCTATTGCTCACTCTTCAGACACACACACACACACAGACTCTCTTTCTGCCAAGCACACAACAGACCCAGGAAGCACTAGACATGGGGGAGATAGAAGAACAGTCAGACAGAAGCGGTGGCTCAAGAAAAGGGAAGGATGTCTAATACTACACTGTGAAAAGAAGTACTACTATAAAGTCTGCAATTACTGAAAAAAAAAAAACAATATCATGTTCTGAGTTCATTATCAAACTCTAAACTGCTTAAAAGTCACGCATTAACCAAGCTGAGAGAAGGGTCAGCACAGCTACTGAAACAAGAGTGTGGAATAGACTGAACCTGCTGTGTCATCTCTAGTGAGTGGAAAGAGGTCGCCATAACCAATGCAAACAAACACTGTCTCCAGACAACATCACACACTACAATGACAAAGGGTCTTTGACCTCGTCTACTCAATATCTAACTTAATATGCCATCATAGCAAATTCCAACCCTTTTTTACTACAAATAGCACTTTCCTGTACAGCTACAGAAACTGATCAAGACTCTCCATATAAACATGAACTTTTATGAGGGGATTGGGTTTAAGACTGACTAAAGCATTCACTGCAGCGTAAACATGTTTTTTGATATTTCCAAAGTAAAAATAAGTTAGCACATCCTTTACAGCATTCAAAAAATTAAATAAGGCATTGTTCTGCACATTGTAGTGCAGTTTCTTTTATTAGAAAAAATAAAACATAAAATGTGCCATAACTTTTGCACAGGGCACAGTTCTTGTTCTACTTCTCCCCCAATGTTAAATTCAGCAAATAAACGGTAACTGTGCATTAAAATGTGTACAAATGTACTCTCCTCAGAGGACGTGTTAACATATTTTCACTTAGAAAGGCAACAAAGTATGTAGTGTAACCAGGGGCACCAAAACTTTTACATATGTTGGTATAAGAGAAGATTACAACAGTAACAACACAAACTCTTGAGGCCTTGCACAAACCCTAGCCTTCGGTGTATCAATGCCTAAATGTATGCATGTGTACAAAGAGAGGTGAGGCAGTATAAGTTACACACTAACCTTTAGAAACTGCAGTGATTCCCTCAGATTTAGTGAAGTCTATGCTGGCATAGGCCCCATTTTCCAGGAGGGGCACAGCAGAGGGCGACAAGGGAGGGGCATCGAGGGCACTCCCGGCCCGGGGGTCCTCTCTCAGGTCCAGGGCAATGTAGTTGAGGCTGTTCTGGTGTTCCACAGATTGAGTCCTTTCAGTCCTCATGGAAGAGGTACTTGCTTCAGCCCGGTTTGAAGAGAAGCCAGGTGCTTCCCCTGCATCACTCGCCAGCACACTATCTACACACATCCACACACTGTCAAAGGACGGCGAGCTCTGCCACTTACCGCCCCCCACCTGAGGGGCACCACTAGGCACTGGGGCACTGCTGTTTGGGCCACTCCCACCGGTCACCTCTGAAGAAGTGACAAAGGTTTCAGAGCTGTGTCTCCGCCTGCCCTGGGGGTCTGCACGGATCACCTTTGGCTCGGGAGGGGGACTAGAGCTTGGACAACACTGCTCCACAACACGCAGGTGTGGCAGCATAGCCGCATGGCTCCTGGACTCCTCCCGTTGAACAAAGCTCATCTCAGCGTAATCATCCTGCCGACCCACACTGACCCCACTGCCATGGGAGGAAGAGGAAGCCAAGGGGCGGATGTATGTAGGTGGGTTCCAAGGAGCCACCAGAGAAGGCCGTGGAGACTGGCTTTTAGGTGGAAGGCCGTCCACCTCAACACTCATGTAGTCCTGGGGGAGGGGCGAGCACCTGCGCTCCTGGCTCATGCTGTGGGCAGAAGAGGCATCCTCTGTAGTGAGTGGGCAGGCAGAATAGGTGGCCTGGTCCCCAAACTCAATGTTAATGTACTCTCCAGGACTGGAGGGGCCTTCTGCATCCTTGCTAACCCTGAACGACCCATGGAGACTGCGCCGGCTAAGGGGGAGGAGGTTAGGACGCACCGCCCGGCGATCTGTCACATGCACATCACTACAGCCATTGTGCTGTAGCGCTTCACTAGAGGAGCACCTGCCACTGTGCTCAGGTGTGGCAGTGGGAGGGGTGTAGATGGGTTTTGCTGGTGAGCTCATGGGAACGTATTCATCATGCTCACTCCGATTTCTCGTTGGGGTTTTGTATGAGCGTGGGAGGGAGAAGTACGGGCTGTAGGATTTGGGTGTCTCAGGAGTGGTCAGCGTGTAGTAATTGTCATTAGACAGTTTTCGTCCACCTGCTGCGGGCCTGCTCTGGGACATGTCCATGTATTCTCCATTCTCAGGGCGCTCAGCACCTCTCTGACTAAGACCCCTGCTGCTGATGTGAGGACTGGCTGGTGCTGAGGAGTCTGCACTACCACTCCCACCTGGCAGCATCATCATGTAGCCTTGTGAGTCTACGTGTTGGGAGGCAGTGCTGTGGATCTGTGGGGAGGCAGAGAGGAGGGCACTGGGTTGCATAGGCATGTAGTCTGTGTCGCGTGGGGAGGGCACGACACCAGCCATCATAGGCATGTATCCATCATCTTTAAAGGAGTCCGCAGCCCGCAAAGCAGGGAGGCGGTCCTGGCTGTGTTCAGAGCTGGAGCTGTAGTCAGAGCGAAGCGAGGAGGAGGTGGAGGCAGGCTGGCCACTGCTGCCCAGAGAGCTTCCCTCAGCCACAGCCTCGTCCAGCGAGAAGTTGGTCTGAGTCGTTTTCTGGTAAACAGCGACGCCACCGGCGCCGCCACCCCCGACTTGCCTGGTGAATGAGGGAGTCCGCCTCCTGAATGACCCTGTCCGCGAATCTTCATCTGTGCTCTCATCACGAGAAGCCTCCCCAGCGCTTCCACCAAACATGTCTCGGTTCCAACCCATAGCCATATAGTCACTCAGACAATGCTCCTCGCGGATGGGCGGCGTGTTGCCCAGCGAGTCAGGTGTGTTGCTACGTACTCTGAAGTAGCGGAAGTCTCCTGGGCTGGAGCCATACTCATCAGAGGAGTTGAAGCCTCCATCACTGGGTGAGCCGCAGATGGACGCACTTGAAGGGCGCGTGATGGTGTCAGTGACAGAGCCGTGGCCGCTGCTGCTGGACACACTAACTGGACTGGTGGTGGAGGGGAAGTGGGAGACTGGAAGAGAGGCTGACCGTGCGTGATAGGTGGCACCCGGTAAGGCTCGTACGTATCGATTGCCAGCTCCACCACTGCTGCTCTCCTGTCTGCTCAGATTGGCACGGGCTGTATTGAGGTGCATCAGGCTGCCTGTTACGGACCGGAAGGGGCGGTTCATAGTGCCCTCGCCCTCACTAGAGGTGCGAAACCGGTATCCGCTCGCACCGCTGCTCTTGCTGCTAGGTGGGGTGCCCACAACAGACTCAGTCCGCGACCGCCGCTGGAGTCCGGTCTGGCTGGGAGGGAGGTTGCCCAGGTGGCGGCGTGTGGTGATGAACGCCATAGGGTTGGAGCCTGAAGACTGACTTTTACTCCTCGGCCTGAACTCAGCAAAGGCCTTCAGCGCCTTCATGGTCTCTAAAATGGTCTCGTGCATGTTCTGAGCCACCACAGAGTCATCCACCTGCATCCATAACTCCCCAGGGCCGATGGAGGAGGAGCGCCCAACCTCTATGAAGAAGAAGCTTTCCGAGTGGCCACAGCGTCTGATGTTCATCAGCTGCAGGTTTACGCATGGGGTCTCAGAGTTCAGTTTCACCAAATGAATGCTCTTAGCAGAGAGGCACAGCCTGTACACACCAGTGAGATTTTTTGTTTGTCCTAGGCCTTTGGGTTTTACGTTTACCTGCCACACCTCCTTGAAGACGGTGCCTGGGGTTACCGTACCGTAGCTGTCATCGAGCTCATCCGCCTCCATGTGGCCTTTTTTGCCCTCACTCATCAGCTCACTCAGGGCCAAGTACCAGTCCTCCTGCTCCTGCTCATTCTCAGCCACAATCGCAAAGTACTCATCCTTAGTATACAGAGCTATGAGGTGTTTGTTCTTTGAATCCGCCCTTTTGTTTACAGTGAAACACTGGTAGAGATAGATCACCCGTTTGGGAGGAGAGGCAGTGGCCGCGGCCCCGGCAGATGAGGTGGCAGCAGCAGCGGAGCGAAGGCTACTACGAAATTTCTTTTCGCTGTCATAGTACTCCAGTCGGCTCGGCCCTAAATGACTCGACGACCGCAAGACAAAAAACCTCTTATGGCCGTGTTTCTGTTTCCGCAGGTAACCGCACTTTCTAATGTCATCCACTCCGTCCGTAGCAGCAGCGGCGCCGGCGTTCACAGCTATAGCAGAGGCAGCTGAGGTAGCCTGTGTGTGGCTTGAAGTAGTAGCGGTGGCCTCGTGTACCGGGTTAACACAAGACGAGGAGGACCTCGGAGATTCCTGCTGGTTTTCGATATCCAAATGTGGCTGCGCCTGGTAGTGGTGCTGCGGCTGCTGCTGCTGTCCCTTCGGCTGTGGAGCCTGGTGGTGGTGGTGGTGGTGGTGGTGAGGAGGAGGCGGTAAGTGTTGATGGAAGCGAGCTCCGCCGCTACTGAGCAGGGAAGAAGAAGAAGGGGGTTCCCCGACAGAGGTGTCGCCGTTGGCCGCCGGTTTAGTCCCAATAGCCCTCTGCTGCTGCGGCTCCAGCATCAACATTTCGCCTTTGCTCTCTTGGTAACTTGCAAAATTTGCCATTAGAGAAACTAAACGCAAGGCCACTTTATCTTAGCTGCAGTGTTGTGGTTTGAGACCCCATTCTTGTTTTTTGGGGGTGGAGGGGTGAAGTCGCGTCTCCAGCAGCGGCAGCGCGGCGAAGGGCGCAATTTATTCCTTCCAGAGATGAGCTCCTGCAGGCCGCTTCATGAAAACGGATATCCAGCCAGTGCGAGCCGAATTCAGGACAAGCAACTGCAACATGACCACATTACCCGTTTCTATTATCGGTAGATCCTCATAGCGGGGCTGCCAGTCTGCTTCTCACTCCCTCTGTACACATCTCTACGGACCATAGCACAAACAACACGTGACCTCTGCCTCATTTGTCTGTAGGTGGGACCATGAGACGACGCGGCTCGCGATTGGTCCAGCCGTGAAGTTAAACGCGTCCACCGCGGTTCTCAGCCAATCACGGCGCGGCGCCCGCGTTCGTCATTGATACATTTGACCAATGATGGCGCTCGGAGTTTCATTCAACTTGAGAGGGGCACGCCCCCCTCCCCCCCCCCCATGCACCCCAAGATTGACAACTAGATGATCCAATAGAGTGACAGAAGGTGGTAGGCGTCCCCCAGTTGCACAGTATTCAGTGGCTGGGCATTTTGAATGAAGTCGAATCCGTCCAATCATAGTTTTCCCTGAAACGACCGCTTTATTTTGTATCGGAGGGTTGGCTGCCTGTGGTGGGTGTTTGCTTGCAGACTAGCTAGTGAGCTGGGCATTTAATCTTACAGGCAAGCGGCAGAGCGGTTTGGGTCTTCAGCTCGAGCAGCCTTATTCAGTATTGTTAACCTTTTCCCACTCATCTGTTCATTAAGCGGTTTTTGGTGTAACAGTTTAGTCACGTTGGCTGGGAAGCTAAGCTGCTCACTTACGTTTCTGCCGCCAGTGAAGTGCAGCTGTTTGCTGTGTGGTTTGCCGAGTGGGTAACGTTAGCTAGCTACTAGTTGGTAGTGGATCATGTAACGTTAGCAGATCACTTTCCAAAGCAATACAGACTTATCTAACAGATATATCAGTACGCGCTAACGTTAGCTAAAGCCATGTGTCAGATTCACACGGTGGCGGGCAGTGTCGGTAGGATGTATGTTGTCTCGGTGGGTGGGTGGGTTCGCAGTATTTTTTTTAAATGAGTCCACGGACCGTGGGAAAGAGGAGTCGGGTATCTGTGGGAAAATGCTTAGCACTTGAAGTTGCCCTGCCGGTTGCTCAGCCTTATTTTAGCCAAAATGCAAAACTGCCTCTAAGTGAGCAACTAGTGTGACCGAAAGAAGGTCAGATTTATTTGGAAAGAGTCTATGAAGCTGTAACGAATCGCTTCCCACCTGTTTGAGTGATTCACAACTTGTGTTTAGAGTTTTATCAATAAAAACCGTGTGATGTAACCCGTGTACAGTCATTTATGAGGACAGTTCTTGTTAAATTCCCCAGAATAACTATCACAGTCACGAGTCACTGTGTAAATGTTTTTAAATTACACTACATACAAAAACCATGCCGCGATTAACGTTACTTCCGGTATCTGTTGCCCTTTTATGGCCAAATTAAGCCTAGGACTAGACTAAAAGGGTTTTCCAATTTGGATGAACTATTGACACTGCAGTTTAGTCCAAGTCTAGGCTTAATTCATGTCTGGGAAACCAGCCCTCAATGTATTTCTGTCTTTGAACTTAGTGAGGGGTCAGTGAAGGGGACCTGCAGTCCTTTTCAGTTTGGCAGCAAACTGAGCAGCAGCGTTGCCACTGTATTGTTCTAAATTTACAGTGTAGCTTGAGACAGATGCGGTTTAGTTTTAAAGCCAAGCTGAAATCAGAATGGACCTTTATACCTTGTTAGTTCATGCCCTCTGGTCATATTAAATTATTAAAATTCTTGTTTAGCCATAATCTTTGATTGAGGTGTCTAAAATGTCTTACATCACTGTGCACCATGTTTTATCTCCCATTGGCACCATCCCAACCTGTCAAGTGAAACACTCAGCTACCTCTCTGACGTTTCTCTTCAAAAAACAATTCTTTGCCAGTTTTAAGAATTTTTAAGAGAGATAATTGTGATCTTTTTGTTGAAATGTCTGCTTATTAGAATAAGGTGTAGATGTGACCTTTCATAACCTTCTATAAGACATAGATCTGCTCCCAGTTTAGAGTTTCAAATGGTCTTGTACAACCATGAGCATAAAATAGGTCAGGGACATTATATCCCTGGAATGTAATATGAATTATGAATCAATATCTAAATGCCCAAAGATATTTAGCATAATCATATATGTATTAGCCTTATAGCTAGTACTCTGGCTTTGCTACCTGCAGTTATTGTTTTTCTACACCTGAGAGGGAGAAAAGTAGAAAGTCAGTGACATAGAAATGCACCACTAACCATTCAAACAAGCTTGAATCAGTAAAATAGTCCCAGCGTTCTCGTCTTTGTTAGGTCTTGCCATATAACGGGAACAATAGCATAGCTGGTGGAAAGCATTGCATCACTGCATTAGTGGGACGTTAGACTTCTTAAACATATTCTGGATTTATCATGTTTCACTTTGCAGTAGTATGTATGTATGCAATTTGATATTGAAGGAAGAACCACTATGATGCCAAGTCAGTGATACTTGATGACTTGCTAGTACATATTAACCTTTGAGTAAAAAGTAGGTTGATCTTATCTTGCATGTACAGGTTTACATAACAATAATAGTTTTCCATTCCAAGGCATGTTTGGAAAGGTCCAAAAACTGTAAAAAAAAGCTCCCCACGAGGAACGATTACTATAACCAGCACAGCAGCCATAAATTCCTTGCTTAGTGTTGCAATTTTGTGAAACCTAATCTTCATGTTATCTAGGTGTTATCTATGCCACATCAGTCCAAACTTAGGCCTGTCCTGTCTGTGTTTGCATCTAAAAGTGGGATGTTCAGGACACAATTCCAAATTTTTCACACCCTGCTGTGCTCAAGCCAGGTATTCACTTGCATAGCAACTGGACTGTAAATGTGGACACATGGCTGGTCGTGCTGTACTCAGAGCGCTGCCCACTAGGCCTAGGGTTTGTAAGCCGTGCCAGTCTACAGGCAGGTGGAACATAACTCAGCATGAAGAGTGTAACGTACTGTATTTTCTGACATGGAACAAGGGGCAGTACACTACTGTGATTTATATAGAGCAAAAGCACATACAATGGTGATTTTTTTGGTCTGCAGCAATTGGAAATGTCTGTAAAATGTTCTGTTTGTGTTGTTGCATGAGGAAAGTCCTCCACCAAAGCCATTTAAAAAGAAAACGTGTTGGACTTAAATTTTCAGGCTTTGTTCTCTGAAATGTATCGTTCCCTAAATATCTAAGAATGCCTCAGATCCATATTTGGTATAGGTAAAATGCATTCAGTAGATTTTTTTCTGAATAAAGTGGAAATTTAATGTTCTCTGTAGAAGGTCTACAGATACTTATTAACAAACTGTCTGGTGATACCCAGTTAATTATGAACACCATTATGTTTGGAGTCAGGTTTAAGGGTTTAGGTTTTGGACTGAAGTTGAGGTTAAGGTTAGGTTTAATAGAATCTTTCATTTTCAGTTTTAGTTGCATTCAATAGGTATTTAGTTGAAAGTTAGTCAGACAGACTGAGCATCTACAAAACATCTATTGAGGACTATTAAAATACAGTATTACTAATGTTAGCGTGTTGCTACATAGGGACAAAGTATCCCCCAACAAAATTATAAATAATAATAATAATAATAATAATAATGAAACAAACTGTGGAAAAAAACAAGTCATTCACTTTCAAACTGTATTCTCTGGAACGTCATTCTCCAAAGACCTACAAATGCCCCAAATCTGTATTCTAGCAGGAAAAAGGCACTCTATAGTGATGTCTGTATCAAGGGAATTTTCTCTAAAAGTTAGCATCCATGTTTTTTTGAGTGGACATACATTTCCTGATGAAATCAGCTGTCCTGATTGAAAACCTGTAGTAGCAGCTTAATGTCTTTAAGCAGTCAAAAGAACAGAATGTTTCTCTACAGTAATATGGATTACTGGGCTGCGTGTTGTATTGTTTGTTAAACATGCACACAACAAATACGCACTCTAACATTTCTATGTGAATGCACAAACCAATCTCAGAGGTAATCATAAGCAGTGATGTGGTCTCTGCAGTGTACATGACGTGTTATGACCCTACAAAGCTATTTTTAACTGTAGAACCTGGAAATCTCTACTGTTCACATATGTCTTGTCATATTAAAGCCATAATATATAGCAGTAAATTTTTGACGTACATTGTCCATACAATGCATCCGTGAAGAGACCTTTTAATCAGTACATTCACTGAAGCCTGGTTACTCAAATCTAGGAGTGCTGCACGAAGGCCAATATATGTACATCAGTGGTGATGACTCAATTGCTCCTTCAAGTGGTGCACAGTGTGAATTACTTCAAGCCTGCTTTCAATAGCAACTGATAAAATCAGATCCTCTTTAATTTACTCCCATATACTCATATAATCATTTAAGATCATTTTTGTAGACACCTTGTAGTCCACAGCAGTAATTTTAGTACAATCAGTAAATCAAAAAAGGTATTTACTAAAGGTGTCTATAATCAACCATCATTTTAAAAGTCATGCATCTGGTGATTTGCTTCCTAGCACAATGCCAAGGACAGCCCAGCGATGGGTCAGGGGTGTTGTAGCCTCAGTTTCCAAGTGGCTATGACCTGATCAAAAAGCTCCACGCGGCGGTGAATATTGTTGGGCAGCACATTTGGAAAGTCATTTATTTTTCTTTAATTTTCCTCCTCATCTGACTCCCACCCACAAAATCAACCCCAAAGCTATTGTGGTTTTTCAAAAGTTATTCCCACCTTCAAGATACATCATTAGAAGGGTTTTTTCTAGTCTTTAAACCAGAAAAATTGTTCTAGAAACTCCTGTTGATGCGAGTAGGAATGTTTTCAGCTGATGTAGCGATGGATCATTTTTTCCTTTTGGATGGAGAGGGCCTTAAATAATACCTATAGACAAATTTGTGTCAACACTCACTTCAGGAATCAAGCTGACTCATGTCACTATATTTGGGAAACACCATGAGGTCATTTAAGATGACACATGATGACTGTCTCTTGACGAACACGCATCTTACCAATTTACTCTTCTGATTGACTGGGCTAGCGAAACCTTTCGATAGGCATAATTACACATGACTATTTACAGAGACATGCTCAAGAGTGTGGTTATGGTATAATCTATGTGTAAGATGACAGACAGGCTTTAGAGATGTGTAATCTGGTTAAGGATGACCTCCTCACTGTGTCCTTCTTATAGAGAGCCAGGCTACCCCTTTGGCCTAATCCATGCAGCATCTAGGTCACCATCTGCTGCACTTGCAGCTATGACCACAAAAGGGCGTTGTTTCATTGTATGTCTGCTTTTAGATCAAGGACTTCATCCTATTGTAAACCTAAGGAACACATCCACTCAAACAAAGTCAGATTCATTGATAACATTAATTTCTTTTCATATTTGTAAAGTTTATATTATAATTTTGATATAATTGATTGAATGGGTTAATATCAATTATTTTCTTTGCTTAGGATCATGTGTAGACTAAAAGCTAAGGTAAATACACCGGTTCAAATCCAACTAATCTAAAGTAACAGAACAAACTTTTATAGCTGAACGTCTAACACACTAAACCCCTTAAATCCAAAGCATTTTATGGTAACATAAAGATCTGACATTTTTAGTCTTCACAGTAATTTTGTTTCTCTTTATACAGTCGTCATAGCGAATCTTACTTAGTTAGCAGATTATGTAACTATGACATGCTGTTATTTCACCACAAACATAAAGAGATACATTTAAATTATTTGAACATTTGAAATCACAAATGCTGTACAGTGAAAATGAGAATATCACTAAAAGTTTGTGCAGTAATGACATCCATGGGAGTCCATGCTAAACATACCCCTTATTAAGGTGTGTCTGTATGAACGGTAGTGCCTGTTAGTAACCAACGTCTGCATCAAAACACTGGTCTGCTCTATATGTACTTCCTTTCACACCCAGTTGTTTCATCCATTTTACCATTTTCACTTAGTTATTTGTTATCACAGACCATGAAAACAGGGAGCTGACATCTTTTACTCTGTCCTCCAACCTTTTCCTCTCTCTCTCTCAGATCCAATCCCTCTCTCGCTGAGTAATGGATTCCCAAGGGATAATTTCAGTTCCTCATGTGACTTTGGCTTGTGTCACAGGTGCTTCATATTCAGAACAGGCCTGTAGCCCCTCCACAAACAGGATGAGGCTTAGCTTTGCGCTTACTGAGGCTGAGCTGGAAGCTTCTGAGAGGTAGCTTTGGAATATACCATAATGGGAACTGGAAGGATGTTTTGAGCGTGTTGTTGTTGTTGCTTGTCACTTGTTGCAGTTTAAGAAGGGCTTCCAGGAGAGGTCATGGTCTAAGTCAATCAAATAGACTGCATTTGATGCTTCCAGGGACATGATGCATGTCTTCTATCATCCGATCCATCGAGAATTCCTAATCTTATAGACAGACCAGCCCAAGTGCAGAGAGTGTTTTTAATCCAGAGGTTGGCTGAAGCAGTTTGGACCACACAGATGGAGAGTAAGAAGAAAGCTGAACTTACGAAGACACATTTTGTGCCTTCTTGGTTTGTCCCCTTGTTTAAATGAAGGGGCATTTCATTTCCTGTCTCCAGTGCACAGGTCAAAAAGACACAGGTGAAGGGTCGTCAGTGATGGTGTATCATGACATTGCCTTCATCTGCCATAGTGAGCTGGGCCACCTGACGTACAGCCGAGATCTTCCTCACAGCCTTCTGAAGCATCAACTTAAAGTCCTTGTGCTCAGGCCTGCAAAACACCACACAGCAACAGAGAGCGGCCCATCAGCCTGGTTTATCTAATACAGCAACGTTTTGTGATCTATCACTTTTCTGAGTTACCATAAAGGCCTATTGTTTTTCCAATTAAAGCATATTTATGAGTCTCTTAGATGCTGAAGATCACAATGTAACTAATAGTACATATTCATAGTTTGTTTAGGCCTATGTTAAGATCTTGATTTCATGGAACACGAGGAAGTCACGAGACATACAGAGCATGACAGAATACGCAAACAGACACACATCAGCATGCCAAACATAGCCAGGCATCCGGTTTTCAAAAGCTGACCACATTCGCAGCTATCCATATCAGAAGAGTGCCATGCCATGTGAAAGGAGAGAGCATGTATAACTGCTATCTTTGGCTTCACAAGTCATGAATCTTCCCAGTCCAAAAATGTCCCTCCAAAACTGGAGGGGCTAAAGTTTCCCATAGTATGACATCACATCAGTGTTTGTAGTTTAATTTCACTTTAATAGGGTTTTTGGTTATAGACTTTGTTCTAATGCAAGAAGGGTCATTGCTTGTATCTTTGTAGGAGTTTGATTACAGGGTTCAAAATTAAAGGAATAGTTTGATCACACATGCTAATTTGACTAGCAAAGAACAGAAGCTAGTAGCCAGCAATTAGCATGATGTCATTTGCATAGTGCTAACTTTTGGCTATTCACTTTCATTCACTGGCAGCATCATGAGCATTTTTGGCTTACCTATTCCTTTATGCTCATGAATAAATGCACATACTCAAGCACACACACTCACACACACAAAGTAAGTTCGCAAAGCTGTTACCACATGCTGGGTGGTATGAAAAAAGTGTCAGAGAAAAGGCCATCACACCACTGTGCAGCGTGACGTATCATATAGCAGGTAGTACAAGGTGCAGCTGTACCACAAAGGAAGTTTAAAAGCAGCTTATCAAGCTCATTTTGCGCTTTACACATATACATTTAATGGAATAAAAGATTCAGTATCAATTTACTGAATTTATCATGTTTGGTATACATTAACAAACTGTCTGTTTTCCATCTAAAAGGTACGATAGAGAAAAAAGACTGGGCTAGTAGGGTTGGCTAAGGTAATAGAGCATGAGCATTTGTCTGTTTACCTTAAAGACTGTAGACTGACAAAAACAATAACTTCGACATATTTCTCACTAATTAGAAAAGAGTGACAACACCTGTTGCCTCAAAGATTCATTTACGATAGAAGCTGATGAGCAGTTGCTTCAAGATACAACTGATGGTCTTTCATCAGATGACCTTTTTTTCCAGGTTCAGGGAAATAACTTGATATGATTTTTCTGGAACTGTATGCTACAGATGCAGCAAATAGAGATTAGGTTGAAGAATGCTGGAGTATCCCTTTAAAGCATGAGAAACACAACTTGAAAGTAGAAGAACTGAGTTATTTCGTTGTTGGAGAATGTAATCCAAGTATAATGGCACAGATGTACTAATTGTGACCCATGCCAAACCCTTCTAGTCCCCCCTCCCATCCTAGATGCCACATTCAGTAATGTTATACATTCTCCATGCATAACATTACCTCAGTTATTCTTCTTTGCAAGCTCTTTCTCCGCTTTCTGCCTCTTGTATGCGGCTATTTCCTCCAGCTGCAAGCCGTGTGCCATTTGCCTGTAAAAATATATTGGAGAGGATAAAGAAAAAGACACACAGGGATACACACAAACAGGCCGCAGGTTGTGGGACGGCCTTGTCTTACCCTGACTTGAGTTCAGGTGGAATGGGTAAAGGTTTGGTGAAGCTGTCCCGCCCAACGAGCCAGTAGGTCTCTTCTGTGCCTTTGCCCTGAGAAGGAGAAAAGATGAAAGTAGCTGCATCTCTAACTAGACCATCAAGTGTACATGAACGTCAGTATCTACCCTTTAATTCAGTTACAGAAGATAACATTTCTCATGTCTGTTTAGAAAGCAAAATGGGAAATAAATGAAACTAATTTGCAAGTATATAATACAGAATTTGAATGGGGTGAAATGTAACCAGTTGGGACCAGAAGTAGACAGGATCACATCCACATATGATCCATTTTCTTATTCTGTAGAACCAGGTGTGGATTTAAAGAGAGCTTTAATCTTTTCCATTGATCATCTGAGTGTGTATGACTGTATGAGTGTGTAGACTGTTCTGTGACTGAATCTAAACTCCATGGTCACATTGGCCTGCATTCACAATGCTTTTCAGAGTAGGAGTGCTGATCTAGGATCAGATTCTTCTCTTATTTATAATAACTTTACTGACAGGAACAGTTCCTAGATCAGTCCTTCTGTTTCATGAATTGTTTTGAGATGACTCAGCAAAAAACTGAATTCACACAATTTTCCCCTTACGCCAAATGCACTTGGCATAGCCAAGACATGTCTGCAGGTTGAGGTTTTTGCACTGGAGTTACAAGGCTAATGGAAGCTAATGAGTAATGGAAGCTTTTAGCCACTAAAATTAGCATTGTGCAAACTGCATGCCTAAATCATCACATCACATGCTTGCTTCAAACTGTGTCAAGTTGTTAAGTAAACTCAAGGATACTTTAGTTTTTTTTCCAGGCCGGGATGGTGAGCACAAGACATGTAAAGTGCCACCGCATATCTTTTCAGACTGCTGCTGAGTGATGAGGGAAGAAGGAGGGACATCTTGCCCTGGCCAATTATGCCCTCTTGGACTTTAGTCATGGGTGGCTAAGGCACCACCCTGCTGAAAACACCCAGCACAGACCAGCATGAATTCCATACCTGTCTAAACTGGTCTAAGCTGGTTATTTTTGGTCCTGTGCTCGTTTAGCTGGTCACCCAGAGTGGTCACGCTGGCTGGCCAACATCCCAGCATCCGAAACACAACATGTGCTGGGTTTTGATATGCTGGTCTATGCTGATTTTTCTAGCAGGGCATTGGGATCACAATTCACAATCCCCCAGTGACTGGGCCACTGCTTAGATGGTTGCACCAGTCAGGAGCCCCCAAGCACCCTTTCTTTAAAGGAACAATAATCAGTTCTAGTTTTGCTTTGTCAGTAATTTCATGAAAAAACTAAAGTACTAAGACAGCAGTACTAATGCATTCTATTACTACTAATCACAATAAACCACAGATTGTGGTTGCCAGGCAACATGATGATCAATTATTATCCAGTATATACTTGGCGCATTAATGCAAAATTCAATTGATGCTTGTGGTCTGGACTGTATGTGGTATTTAAGAATGGCTTCAAACATGGCGCAGCCAATCAGATTTTAGGACTGGAACAGTTTTATACACAAATATATAGAATAGTACAATTAAACATTTTTCCACCTGCATTGTAGCTTCAAAAAGGCAATCAACCATTCAAACTGAATGAATTATTTCATTCATGTTGACTGCCTGGGCAAAACGGCTCACAAAAAGTCTTACCTTCATTTCAGTCCTGCCTCTCAACTGCACCTTATACCCCACTTTCAGCTGCAGCAGAATCTTAACTGTACTGGAGTGAACATGGATCCGGTAGGCTGTAGGAATCCAAGAAGTTAAATCATGAACAAAACCTATGGAGACAAACAGACCTCAAAAAGGTCAAAGGGACTGAAGAAGCATTTTATGATATGGCTGTAATGGAGAGACTCACGCATCCCTGTGGACTCCATTCTAGAGGCAGTGTTGACTGTGTCTCCAAACAGACAGTACCGTGGCATTGTCAAGCCCACAACACCAGCAACACAAGGACCTGTGGAGGACATACATACACACATACAGATCCCTTAGCTGTGAATCTGAACAATATGGAAAAGTATGGTAAAGTAATGATTAACAGTAAGATCTAGCTTTTTTATTATACGCTGTCTGAGCCAGAGGAATGTTAACATGTTTTACTTTTGCTTTAAACCAAATCCCAATAATGAAATGAGACATAACACTCACTGAAAAAGAAAAATGTTTCTGACCTGTATGAATTCCTATTCGTATTCGGACCGGGACATCAGGCATGTGTCTCATCTTAAATGTCCCCACAGCACTGAGGATGTCTAGAGCCATATTGGAAATCTCAGCTGCATGCCGGTTCCCATTGGGCACGGGTAAACCTGATGCCACCATGTAGGCATCACCTATGGTCTCCACCTGGATATTACAGAGTGAGAGATGTAGAATGTCTTAATATGAAACTGTTGAATTCCATTCATTCCAGTATCAATAACTGAATAATAAGCCTGCATTTTAACAAGTTAATAGAGATGCAAAGCAGCCTGACCACACAAACACACAAACACACAAACACACACACACACACATTTTTTAAGCCGCTCATCCTTCTGGGTCATGGGGAGCCTGACCACACACACAGCAAAATTAGTTCCAACCCTAATCTAACACCTGATCCAGTTAATCAAGGCCTTCAGGAGTATCTGATTATTACAGCCAGATGTGTTGGAAGTAAACAGAGCGGTAGATCAGTAGGACTGGGCTTGGGCAACGCTTGTGTACAATGCTACTCTCAGGGACCTTGTAGTTGGGTGAATAGTGGAACAGAACACCAAGGGCTTCTTGGTGGAGGAGGTCCTCGAGGGGCCTGGACTAAAAATGTTCTTTGAGCTTATATATAAATTAAAATTTTTAAGTAATTCGTGTCAGAACTAAATTAATATTGGTAAAACAAATTGAATTTGATTGAATTAAATTTAATGTTGCATTTATGAAAAATATTAAAGCCCCCCCCCCTACTTTTCAGCACTCCTTTGTTGTTGGGGCAGTATAGACTGAACATATAAATGGTATATTTCAAATATACAATCATATGCAAAATTTGGGCCCACCTGGTTAATTCACGTTTTGTTGATTTTCTAAGTGAAAATAAGTTAAAACATCCTCTACAGAGAACACTTCTGCACATTTTAATGCATGATTACTTTTTATTTGCTGAATTCAACAAATTGGAATGCCACAAGAATGTGTTAACTTCTTTTTTCGTAATTTGACTGCATGGGCATATTGAAAATTTTGCGTACAACTGTAGCTGATTTGATTATTTTTGAATGTTCAATATGAAGGGAACCCACAAAGACTGCACTTGCACAGGGCCAATAATTCTGTAGAACACCCCTGATTACACTGGTTGCCATCATGCACTGTATGGATATATGGGTCTCTAATGTGCACTGTAACAGAGGAGACATGCATATACTGTCCATGGAGGAGACCGCTGAGCCAGATGTTCTCATTCACTGGCCATGCAGCGGTCACACATACCTTGTACACATCGTGGTTGCCGATGACAGCGTCAAAAAGCGTGTACAGGTCATTCAGAAGGTCAACCACCTCGATGGGCTCACTGTTGGCTGAAATGGTAGTGAAACCAACAATGTCACTGAAGTAGATTGTAACGCTGTCAAAGTACTCTGGTTCCACTGTGGTGCCCAACTTCAGAGCCTCAGCCACTGACCTAGAACAACAATAGCAGATACATCATTAAACTTTAGGAACGTAGGATTTCAGAGAAAAACAATACATATGTATTTCCTTCAAGCAATAGTTTGGAGAAAACAAAAAATGTATTTTTTTTTTTAAAAAACTAGTTGAGCAAAGACTGAACTTTGCTTTCTTAATGATGCACTGGAGCTATGAGGCTAATGTAGCAAAGTAATAGCTTGTATCCTACTAATTAACATCATGAAAACTGCATACCTAAATCATTCAACACTTGCCTCAAACCAATTTGAGTTTAAAAGTAATTTCATATAGACTTTATTATGTGGTTTCTGACACTGTATGCATACTGTCATCTATAACACTAGACAAAGGTATGTTGCATAGCTAAAACAGCAGTAAAAGCCATACTTTAGTGTTGGCTGATCAGCTAGATTTTGGATAAGGGAGAAACAGAATAACTTTTATTTTCATCCAACTATCATTTTAGGCCAAAACTGTAGACACAAGTCTTTTTTTTCTAAATCATTTGAGCACAGCAACTGCCTTTTATATTGTTTGTACATTTCATAATGAATTGACAAATGCCTTTTACCATTTTGGACATACGTGTTTTTTTTTTGGACAGCACTGATATACATAGTATGAGTGCATACATGCATTTTGCCTATGCAGGCTTGCAGATGAGTCTGAATGCATTCTACTCACGGTGGCAGCATCTGTGTCAGCAGTTTCTCTGTCTTCTGCTTTTCAACCTCCAGCTCCTCTGTCCTCTCTCTGATCAGCTCCTCCAGGTTAGAGGAGTACTGCTCCAGCATCCGCAGCATGGAGTCTATGATGTTAGTTTTCTTCCCTTTGTTTATGTTCTTGAACTGAGAAGGGACGAGGTAACAAATTGTTCATAAATGAACATATACGTATTGTAGTACTTCCAAACTCATCTGGTCAAAAGCATCTAGTAGTCTAAATCTACTTGGACATCCTGTGTTGATGTGCATGCTGGTAAATTAAAGCACTAAAACAGAATTGTCTCTGAAAATAGCCCCACTCCTTCATTGAAACCCTATCAGATCATTCAGAGTCCATATAGGGACTCATATCATAAGGATACATGGGAAGGAACTATTTGAAATAAAAAAGCCTGGAATTGTTTGTCATTTTTTTGGTCATTTAGTCATCTTTAAGAAGGCCCACCTGATCAAAAATCTCTTCAAAGGTGAGTCTTCTCTCAGGCTGCTCGTTCCAGCACTGCTTCATCAGCTGGATGCACTCCACTGGAGCGTGGTCTAGAGATACAACAGGCCGGCATAACGGTGGAGGCTTCATGACCCTCAGGATAATTTCTATAGGAATAAGAGAGAGATTCGAACAGAATATACATCTATACATGGAAAAGGATAGATTTGAAAATGGAGCCAAGTTTTTCTGTATATGACAATTTTAGTATATTGGTACATTCTTTAAGGTGGGAATCTTGTAAACTCTGCCGTATCAAATCCACCAAGGCATCACTTATACCTGTAAAGTGAGGGATACTGTGCTAAATGCACGCCATGGCCAATATAGAATGTTCTTATTTACAGATAAGTACAAGAATGTCATCCAAAAAAAAACAATCAAAATGTATCTTCATCTTTGTTATATATTTTTTTTATTTATTTAGGAACTATTTATGTGATCTACCCTCAGCAGAGCTCTGCTCTAACATGCAGAACGGAGGCCCGCGAACCACCACTTCCTGCATAACAATGGAGAAGCTGTACACGTCCCCTGGGAGGGTGCCACTCAGCCCTGGGAATGAACCTCTCAAGATCTCAGGAGCGGTCCATAGCAGCTCTGTGGAGCAGTCAGATATGAGCACTCACGCAAAGCAACACATAACATGTACATGAGACACTTTACAGAGGAACAGAAGCTCTCACTGATCTTTATAGAGACTGACAATCAAACACAAACCACTAACAATCTAATTAAGTGTGAAAGAAATGCTAGTCACAAACTCTGTATTGGACCCACTGGCCAGTTTAAAGATGTTAAGATGCACGCACTCACCCTCAGCTGGTGGCCGAACATACGGGAACTTCTGGGCCTCCAGAACTTCATTGTAACCATAGTCGGTCACTTTGAGCACAAAACGTCCATCAACCACACAGTTCCGGGACTTCAGCCTTCCATGACATACATTCTTGTGGTGGAGGTATTTCATACCCTGCATGCCAGAAATATTTATGTACATATACCCTCAGTATATAGTCTTATTTATTGCCTTAATCTTAATATAACACCAGATATCATAACACCTGATAGGATCAGCCTGCATTTCTCAACAAACCAAACATATGTTAACCTGTTTTAAATCCTATCCTAATCTGAGTCTTTCTACAGAGAGCAGTACCTTAAAGATAAAAATCAAATCATTTTTTGCCATAACAAAATGCAGTTTAGTTAAGACATATTTGGAATTTGCTTTTTAAATTTTACACTGGAGCTACATGCCTAATGTAGCTAACAACAAACAAAAACTTACGTCTTACCAATTAGCATTGTGCAAACTGCAAAACTAAATCATCACATACTTGCCTCAAACTCAGTCAAGCTGTTTAAGGTGAAAATAAATTTAACAGATTTTTTTGCCATTCAAAGTAACAAACATCTTTAAAATCCAGATACCTTGCTTTCAGATTTAATGATGATGTATGGAATAACATAAATTAAAAAGTATTTCCAAGATGTACATTCATTAATATCCAGAAGAATTCATCTTACTCCAATACATCTTCATAACATGTTTCCAAATGTATCCCCATTATGCTCTAAATGTAAAGCTGAGAAATTTACAGTTATGCATATATTCTGGCAGTGTACAGAAAATCAGATGTTCATCATGTTATTAAGAAAATAAGAGGTAAAAGCTTTCATATCTCACTAAGTTTATATCTTTTGAACCACAGCCCTGACATAACTCTAAATGACAATCAGGAATATCTCCAATGGACTTTACTTGAATTTGTCAAGTACATATTACTCAATCAAGTAGCTACTTAACACAGTTGCTTGGAACCACTTGTTTTAACATTTTAAAGTAAATCCAACACTTCATTTTTTGAGTGTAGAGGAAACACTAACTACAGCTAACTTCCACCAAAAACAATGACCCCACCTTTACATAATCTCAGAGCGACTAGCTTGTTTGCAGTTTGCACAATGCTATGTGGCCATAAGCGTCCACTACTTTTAGCTTTATTTGCCTTGTAGCTCCAGCGCAAAACTAATGAAGTAAAATCAGACACCAAACCTGTCTTGGCTGAAAGCTACATTTGTAGTAAGGGGTAATTTGTGTAATTTGATTTAATGCCAAACTTTCAATTTAACGTGACCCCAGTCCTTGCATAGAGGGCCTTACCTTAATAAGGTCCAGCAGGAGTGAAGACTTAAACATCCAGTCCAGTTTGACGTCATCATTCAGCAGCAGGTCTTCCAGGCTACCTCGGGAACAGAACTCCGTCACTATAGCGAAGACTCCACAGTCGTGGAAGAAGCCCATGAAAGGATTCACATTCTCGTGCCTCATGTCCTTCATCTGCAGATGCAGGAGGAGCTCACTTTATTAAGCACTTGATGTTCTCAATAGTCATATGAATAAATTAAAAATGGGGCATTAAGTGAAGAAGAAAACGTAAAAGATGAGGACACTATGAATTCTAGCAGATCGATGGGAAAGACTTTGCCAAGCAAATACATTTATTTGGATTTAGTGTTAAAGGTTCAGTAATTGAAACGTGCAAGGGACCAACCAGTTCAAACACGTCACTGGTGCTGGGGTTGATGCTTCGAAAGTTTCCATCAGGAAGTCTTTTCAGCCAAGCCCAATCACCCTGCAGAACAGGAGGAGGAATCATTTTAAGCCATTTTGAACACATTTGAACTCATTTTAATAGCAGCCATTAAATACTATATCAGCTTGTTTTGGAGGCCCTTCAGTTTTTGAGCTATGCTTTTTATATCAATAATGTTGATGGAAGAAATTTTGATTGAAATATGTATGACACACAAAACCAAAAACAGACTGGATTTTCATCATCATAGATCAGCAACATGTGCGCATCATTCATAACAGTCTTTTTATTGAGTTTCAATGCTGTTTTTAATGTGGCAGTTGTGCACTTTGGGTCTCCTTCACCAAAATCCTCCTAGGTTTTTTCTTAAATTTGTTCTAAAGGTTCTGAGAAAAAGTCTACGTCAGATTCATGACGTGTTCTTAAACCGCAGAATTGTTAGCACCTTTGTGCTCTTGAGTGTGTGTAGATTCTGGTCTTACCTAAGAACAAATACCAAATAAGAAAACACTGGTGAATGTCAGAATCTTTGTGAGTGGGTTTTAAGAAGAAATTTATTCTTATGAACGGTTGGTGAATGAGGCCCATTGTTTTAGTTCAAGAAAGCTGAGGTGTGATGTCTGTTTTATCTTAATACAGGTGTCTTTGTGGAGAGATGTACATTATTTTCACAGAAGGGGGTTCTTATTGCTCACTAGCAGCTCACCACAGAGCGACAACATTAATTAAAGCCTAGAATTAAAATTTCCTTTTCACTGGGGGGCCTGCAGAAAGAAGCTATGTCATACTGCAATCTTCTGTGTGAAATGTACAGTGAGAGTTTTTTACCTCATAGACGGCGACGTTTGTGTTCTCATGGGTGACCGGTGACTGACTCGACAATGTAGACTTGCTGCGCTCGGAGAAGCTTTTCCTGGTGTCGCTGGTTCTGCTGTCATCGAAACTCAACTTCTGTTTTTAGTAAAAAGTGTCAGTCATTAGTGTGGATCACTAGAGTTCATGCTGGTGTCAGTCTTATATATGCATGAATACCTGAAATTACCTTGTTACTCAATGATGGGATGATGAAGGTGACATCTTCCAGGGTCAGTAAGATTTTATCCGGGCCCCGAATTAAACGAATCTGGTTGATTCGTCGCCTTCAAGACATGAAAATTAAATGCTATCCTCTTATATGCTATTGTAAATTGGAGGTTCCTACATGGTTCTTGCCTTGGATGTATGGTTCTATTAAAAACCTTTAACTGATATTTTGTGGAAGTTCTTGACTTTAAAAGGTTTTTCACCCTCGCACATCTCATTCACAAAAAAAACCTCTTTGAAGAAAAATTCACTGAATGGGTCTCTAGGGAATTAAAAACAGTTCTATGGCAACATTCCAAAGAGCCTGTTTTGGCTATTTTTATTTTTAAGAGTGTGACCAGGCTATGTAAAGCAACAACATCCACAACTGGTATTTTGTTCTGTAATTAGACCTCAATTTAATCACAACTATGTAAGTCAAGAATACTTTAGACTCTATGATAGACCAGATGAAAGACAGGGCAAGATAACTGTTACCTTATGAAGTAAGCAGAGGCGATGCAAGAGATGACCAGAAGAAAGACACTGAGGGAGATGACGATCAGCTGGTAAACATCCATCCCTGATAAAGAAAGAGAAAACCTTTGGAGTAAGTCATATTCACATGTCTATCATTAGCTGCTGATTTCCATCAGTGACTGTTTATTTGAACATGGATTTATACAGAACACTTTTATGAATTCTCCAGTCAAATGCATTTGTAAAGGCTGTACATCTGTATTGTATATTCTTTCAGAATAAGGTCTAGTTTTAAAGAGTCAATGTTATGTCAGAGTTGTGATGTAGGCAGAGATTTCACCTGTTCAGTCTGATTGTACATGGACACCAGAAAACCACTGATGAGCTGTGACTACTTGTGCTAGGACCTTAGTGTTGCTAAACTAATGCTTTTGTGTTAGTTTATGCTTTTTAACCTTTTTTGCCTGTTCTAGATTAATCACAGACATTCGTAGCTTGTACAAGACATTATCATACATTTTACCTGTTTTCACAGTGAGTCTTCTTAGTAAATCCATCGTTGTTTTCAAATTCTGAACTTCCGCTCACATTCACATTCTGTGTTGTATCTATGACTTCTAGAAGACCTAGACTGACACTGTTTTCTAACAAAATTAGTCCCACCAATTACAAATCAAAATATGACTGGTAGAATCCTCTTCCTCTTCCTAATTATATTGGTAGTTACTCTAACGTGTAAGGCCTTCTGGCCAGCTCCTGAAGGTCTTACGAATAAAAGAGCTTACTTGGATGTAATGTGTCACAGAATACCAAGAACAAAAACACCCTGGGTGATTGGCCATTTCGAGATTGTAAACATTTTGTTTCCAACTAAAACTTAACAATGAGTTAAGAGTTGTACTACAATACTTATTCATTATAAACACAATATATGTGATAATTCCCCTAAGTGAAAATGAACTAAAAATTACAGACATATTTATTTATAGAATTCAGCATCTGCCTATTGGCTCCTATTATAAGCATGTTTTGAGACAAAAGGTTTTCTGTTCTTTTTCAAAGTACAGGTCTATGGTAATGATACAGATGGGGCAAATAGAGATTGTTTGAAAGTTGGACTTTTGTGTAAGTGTGTATACGTGTTTCTCTACATGGCAAGAAAACAAAATCTTAGTAAGTGAAATGGTCTAATATAAGCGCTATAAATCAAATTGTATCAATAGTTATGATATCATGTCTTACTTCAGGGATTTTGAGATGCTATTGATGCTATTAGAAAGCCTCTGTAGTTTTAAGTTTTACACTTGTGTTCTACTCATTAACTTCTCAGAGGCTGCTTTGTTAACACCCTAGTTGTGGTATATTCAGATGTGATCTCAAGTGAATAAAAGATGAAAAAAGAATTCAGATTTTCTGTTGTTTGGCAAGCAGACATGGCTCATGATGGTTTAATTTGAGTATGAAGTACAACATGTTAAATCTCAGATTACTAGCAGCATATAGTCTCACCAAGAGGTTTAGAGATATAAACTTATAGTCATATGCAAAATTTTGGGCATCCTGATTAAACAACATGATTTGTTTTCTAAGTAGAGATAAGTTAACACATGCTCTTCAGAAAACACACGTCTGCACACTTAAATTCACAATTACTGTTTATTTGCTTAATTTAACATATTGGAAAAAAAAAGCATAAAATATGGCCTGTGTAAAATTTATGGGACGTTTTAAATTTTGTGTTTTATTTTTTCCAATGTGTTAAACTCAGCATAAAAATTATTATTACTATTATTAGTAGTAGTAGTAGTAGTAGTAGTAGTATTACTACTACTTCTACTACTACTACTACTACTACTACTACTAATAATAATAATAATAATAATAATAATTTGACCACAGATGTTCAAATTTTGCCAATATATTTTTACTATATATTGAGTCCCTGTATCTTATGATAATGCATTAAAATAGAATCTTGTATCTGCTTATGTCACATTTAAATATACTTATACTTATATTATATACTTCCTTACTAGATTTTTTTCTTTAATGTAATAGTTTTTGTAAATGGCTTTTTTGCAGTGTTTGTCCATGTGGTTGTGTGTGTGTGTCTTTCTCACCTCCGCTACAGATGATCCCATCAGTGAACCAGCAGCTGGAGTCAGTCTTGGGTGGACCCCATGCGGGGAAGTGAATGGAGTGACCTAGAAAGCGAACCATGTCCGTCTCCATCTCTATGCGGTAGGAAGGCCTCAGTTCCCAAGTAAATCCGTCTGTGTCCAGCACCACATAGTCTAGCAGGCCTGAGCCAGACTGTGTAGTGCGGATGGCGTGGCTAAAGCCTTTGAAAGTCAGATTACGGGCATGCTGGGCCAAGTTCCCCCCAGACATCCCACTTCCCTGCAGCCCGCACACCTCGCATGGCATGAGCCATCAACAGGATGGAGGAATATATGGTGCCAAACAGAGGAGAGACCTGGTGGGGAGGAGAGAAACTTACTGCAAAACTGAAGAACTGACAAAAGTACTGTGTAAAAAATTATTTCCTGTAATGTCAGCACTGAACAGCACTCAAACCTTTCAGCTGTTTAAATCACCTTTGAGGAGAAAGATTTTCAATATCTCTTGAAACATCTCTTTTAAATGGCCTATATATTTCTTTATATATTATATTTTTGTCTGAATAGGCTGATTGATGCAAATGTGTTGGTTTTTTGACATCACAAAAACAATGAATTCAAAACAGACTGTTTTTGCATCTTCGTTACAGACAATATGGACTCTTTTTATTTCACATTTTTTTTATTTCACTTTTTTATTTCAAAAAGTGAGGAAAATGAATTTATCCATCATGCAAGTGCTTTAACAATAGTTTGGAAAACAAAACCATCAAATCAATAAATCCTGCTGCCCATTGAAAGAAGACACTTTTGATGAACATGAAACTAGGTGTTGTAAAATATATCCCCAAGTATTAGTAAACAGCTGTTTGTTAACAATAGCTATTAACAAAACATTTGCATCTATCTTTAATCACTGAAAAGTAAAACAATACAAGTTTCAAAAGAAGGTACGATGCCCCCAAACTTTTGATGGGCAGTGTATATCAAAGGAAGACATGAGGCAGGAAAGGCTATGAACAGTGTCTAAAATTGTTTTACATTTTTGAAATTGTTTTCATGTTACAACAGATTAAATCCCTCTGATACTATACCCATGTCCCCATTTAAATACTAATATAAACATTTCCCATGGTTTGACCAGTGCAGGCCACTTCTTAATCCCCCTCTCACACTGTACCTGGTGGGGCTGGAAGCTGTCGGGCAGTTCTCCACTCTCCTGTGCCTCAGCGAAGGCGTGAAAGAAAGAGTGCTGCTCTGGAGACTCCACAGTGATAGTGAGCACTGCATCATAGGCCTGCAGCAGTTTGCTGTTGTTGCGCAGGGTGGGCTGGGGCAGGTGGTGGTGGGGCAGGCTGTAGAGGAGTGTGTCATACGGAACAAATACCAGAGAGCCATCCACCATCCGCATGTCATGTGCCATCTCCAGGAGCAGCTTCTGAGTCGTGCCCCCCACCAAGACTGAGTGCATACAGAGGATGACCACTAAAGGGAGGGAAGGATAGAGGGAGAGAAGAAAGAAAGAAATGCAGGAAAGAAATAATGAAAGAAAGACAACATGGAAATAAATATATAAAATAATGGAAAAAAGAACAGAATAAGGATAGATGAAAAGGAGAGGCCACTTAGTATAAATTCTGACATATTATAACTTTTTTTGCAATAACATTACATTTAAATTAGTTTCAGGGACTCATTCAGCTTCTAAACCCTAAGCGTCCATATTGAGTCCACACTCAGTTTTTCACTCTCATAACTACATAACTTACATATTACTTTAATTTCTGAATACTTTATGGTTGTTGCTCAGCCTACACTACACTACAGTAGTTACTAAGCCTTTAAAATATAAATGTTACCTGAAGAACTACTTTTGGTTACATAAGCAACCTTTAAATTGATACTTCTTGAAAGATTTTTAAAGATTTCTAGAGTGAAAAGCCTTTTTAAGACTTAAAGAACCTGAACATAATGTAGAGCTTTTTAACAATAATAGAGCTTTTTAAATGTAAAGGTTTCACACCTCTAGTTAGATTCTCTCCAAAGGACCCTTTTTATATCTTTGTTTTGAAGAGTTATGGTTCAAGGAGTTCAACTCACAGCGCAGGTGCTCTGCTTTCTTGACCTTGGCCAGGGCCTTACGCATGCTGACTGAGTCATTCCCAGTGGACACCACTATTCCCACAGGCATGCCGTGGCTTCGCAAAGCATTGGCCAGCTCATGGGCAGTCTCTATCCAGACGTCATCGCCCGAGGCAACGATGCCCACATGAGCCCAGCGGAAGTGACGCATGAAACGCAGTAGCACCAGCGTGGGCAGGGGCATGGCGTGGGCAAAGGTGGGGTGACTACGAGGGTTGACCAGCTCATAGCTAAAACATGACCAGCTAAATACTGCTTTATTCCAGCTTTTCCCCAACAGGGATGCTGCATCACAGTAGCCTGGGTTGACCGGCCCGATAAAGCCGGACGCCCTTGTGTAGTAACCGAGGAAGCGGGAAAGAGCCTGTGATGTCTGGCAGTCCTCCTCCAAGATGACATAATCAAAAGTGGTACCAGGCCACAGGGAGGGGTCCCGGTTGATACGGCTCACAGCTAGTCGTGCTGCTGTGCTGGGATAGGCCTTGGCGAAGAGGGGGTCACAAGACCACGGCCCAACCACCCCGACCCGGAAGGTAGCAACAGAGGAACCAGGGAAGAGGAGGAAGCACAGCAGGACTATGTAGGCCCAGAGGCGCCAGGTGGAGCAGTAGGAGACATGGTTGTATTTGTGGGAAAAAGAGGGATGTTGATTAAGTTTCTGGTGTCGGCTGCTGGCCCATTCTGGAGTTAAACTGTAGAAGGCACAGAACCGCCGTTGCATCTCAAGGCTACGGCTCAGCTGCACAGAGAGTGAGTTGCCGCAGTCTGCAGGCGACTCACTGTCATATCAGAGGTATCTTCATTTCAGTCTTCACATAGTTCTGGATCAAGAGGGAATCAAACAGCTCAAATTATTTTATAGTCTAGAACAACTACATACGTTACGTGATGTGAGTTTCGGTATGAAAAAGCTGTGCATCTGTACTCTTAACAAGATGGAACTGATGCAAAGCACGGCCGATTTGAAGAATCAAAAGCTATTTGACTGCTAACAGCGCCACCTTGTGAGAATCTTCCACCTGCTCAATGTAAGTATGTGAGTGTTAGTAACTTAGTTGCAAGCCAGTTCCATGAGGTGCAATCTTGAAAGGTGCCAAAGAGGGTTATTTGCACAATGCTGTAGAAGAACCACTTTTGGTTTCCTAAAGAACCTTTCAACAGATGCTTCTTTAACCCCTTAAAAGGCTTATATACTAAGACTTATTATTCAGTAACTACAGGGGCTTCAGTGAAAACTGGCTGAGCTATTCTTAGGTTATAGGAGTGTGTAATAAAACTTTGGGCCTGCCGACAGACGCTGGCCATGTGAGGTGTTAAGGAACCATTTCTGCACATGAGATTTGTGTATAAAGAACCTTTTTAACCCTTTAAAAGGCCAGGTCCCAGAGTTTTATTGCACACGTCTGTAACCTAAGAATAGCTCATCAAGTTTGCACTCAAGTCCCTGTATTTAGGAGACTATTTCCTGCCCCAACACATGATCTAGATTATCAGATAATCAAGTCAAGTCCTTCACGAGCTGAATCAGGGATGTTAGGACAAGGAATAATGGAAAACATGGCAGGGCAGTGGGTCTCTGTGCAGGATCAAGAAACTCTGATCTATAGTAAATGCAAAATTTCCTTCAAAAAGGCAACATTTTCCAGACATGTTCAAGGGTTCACTGGTGGCAAGTGAGGGATTAAGGTTAAGGAGAAGATTGACCTGATCCCATTAAGTGTAGACCATGTCATATAATTCCATATGGCTATAAGACACCACTTTTACTCATTCACAAACGTAAAGTTGCTTTCTGACAACCCTTGAAAAGTGTCAGTGGCTTAGTGGAGCAATCAGTGGTTGCATTTTAAGGTGTGGAGCCTTAAACCAGTGAATCCAGCTGTGGTCCTGGAGCAGCCCTGCTCTTATACACCCAATGTCAACTCAAATGGGTTTATTAGTTGTTTACTTTGTTGTTTTGGGTTTATCAGAGCAGGAAATACACTAAAATGGCCAGGGCAGGTGTACCCCAGACACAGACCTGAAAAACACTGGCTTAAGCTTTACCTACCATTGTATTGTATACCATTTGGTCAATGTATTACTAAGAAGCTATTGGCTTTTATTTTTAGTATTTTAAAAATCATCTTCATGGAACTTCTTATAAGTTACACCATTGCCTGAAACTGTGACAGGATTATTTAAATATGTCAGTGGAATTTCAACTAATCCCTCTTTAGCAAAGGCTTTCAAAATACCCACCACATGTATATCTAAACTGTCCCCTACAAGTGAAAGTAAAATCATTGAGCAGCATTTTGAGGGCTACAGCAGTTACTGGATAGTAAGTCTTAAATGTGCCTTGAGCTATCCATAGCATTGTAAAATAGCATCACTCACTATTTGCAGCCTTAGGTTGCTAATTAAAAACTGACCAGCAAATCGATGACTACATTCACTTGGACACAAATGAGCACAAAAGTTCACTTACCGATTCTAATTGAATCAAATACATTTAGACAGTCATTCCCAGAGCTCGTTATCCTCATCCATGTAGATGAAAACTGTAGGCAACCATCATTCAAGTCTCAAATTTAGAAGAAATCTTTGATATTTAAAAAAATGGCATAGTTTCATTATCAAGAAATGAATCCAAATCAATACTATAAGAAGAGTGAGATGTGCAGATGAGCCATTGGTTTTGCAGAGGGCCCTGGCAGGGCTCCAGTTAGCATTGGGTTACATTTCTAATCCTCTCCAAGTCTCCTCTGCGTGCGTGACAGCACAGCCGACCTGAAGATTATTTCAATCCAATTTCAATATTTCACTGCCAGAGGTGAATAGAAACTAGTGTAGTAGGTTATACTGCATATGCTTAGAGTGGAGTTTTAGCCGATGTGTACTTTGCTGACCATTTTCACCCAACACATAATAATACTTCTACTTATACTCACAGTATAAGTATCTTTGTGAGAAAAGGAGAATAAACATTCCTCAGTTCTGTTTTAGTCATTCACATTTAGTTCCCTTTTGTGTTTGATTGTTTTCTGTTCTGTTGGTGGACTGCTTTGCTGTTGTGCACACCTCTCACTTTCAAGTGGTCATTTTATTTAAGACCAAAGGGATACCAAAAAGAGTAGAATAGCACCCAACAAACTTCAGTTTCTATGCTGACAGATGCTGGGTGTAGTAAGAAGTTCCCCTGCGGGCCTATAGGGAACTGATACTAGTTTGGACCTGATGCTTTTTTTACTCAAGTTCATTTTTTACTTGAGTCATCTCATTGAAGGAAGAATGCTTAACTTCAGTGTGGTTTTCAGTTGCTGTACTTTGTTCACTGGAAAGTATAATGCTGTTTTTAATATCTTGTGTGGTTATTATGAGGTTCATTTAACCCCTTTAAAGGGGACTTCAGCTGAGTTTTCAAAATGTCTGCATAATTTCAAATAAAATCAAATTACATTTATTGTCACATCACATTTACACAGGTCCAATGTACAGTTGTACAGTAATAAGTTATGAAATAAAACGTATTGAATGAGATAAAACTATGATGTGTACTGTTGTACACATTTCTGTATGTGCAGTTAGTGAGTCTGAGGTAGATAATAAATGAGATACAGGGTACACAGGGAATAGAATATTGATATAGAAATCTTCCAGATTATACAAAATATGGATAGAAGATGTACAAGATGTCAATTTAAATGTGTAAGTATAGATGGCACATATAGAAGGTGCAGTAAGATCAGAGTGAGTCTGTTGAGGAGTGGATGAGGTGTAGATTGTCCATGGAGATCATTATGATGATGACTCAGAGGTGTAGTGACAGGCCTATAGACCGATACACTAGCATTGCTGGCTGTTCAGCAGCCTGATGGCCCGGGGGAAGAAATTGTCTCGGAACCGGCTGATTCTGGACTTCATGCTTCTGTATCTCCTCCTGCTTGGCAGCTGTGAGAACAGACAGTGGCTTGGATGGGTGGAGTCCTTTAGGATCCTCCTGGTCTTCCTCAGGCATCGGCAGGTGTATAAATCTAGAAGGTTTGGGAACTGGACCCCAGTGGTGTGCTGGGCTGTCCGCACCACCCTCTGCAGAGCTTTCTGAACAGTCGTGGGTGTACAGAGAATACAAGAGAGGGCAGAGCACACAGCCCTGAGGAGCTCCGGTGTTAAGGGTCAGTGAGAAGGAGGTGATGTTTCCCATCCTTACTACCTGTTGGCCCGTCAGGAAGTTCAGGATCCAGCTGCACAGAGAACTGTTCAGACCCAGATCCCGAAGCTAAATGTGAGCCTTGTGGGCACGATGGTGTTGAATGCTGAGCTGTAGCCCACAAACAGCATTCTCACATATGTGTTCTTTTTGTCCAGATTGGAGAGGGCAGTGTGAAGAGTCAGGGCTATTGCATCATCAGTAGATCTGTTCAATCGTTCAGATGTAAACAAAGTCAATCAGAGTGGTTTCATGTGAAATAGTTAATTGTAGAGAAACTCACAGACAAATTTCACTTCAGTGGTGGTGATAGGAACCAGGGGTTGCAATGCCTGCAATGCAAATAAAGCCAATTTATTTAGGATCCAAAAATGACCAGTTAACCTATTCAAGTCTTCTGGGTTTTATATGTAGTGTTGATAATACTATAACAGTGGTAAATTTGAAAAAAAAATTCTTTGGATACATTTTACCTTACAACACCCTACAAAAAAGAGTGTCATAACCACATTTTTCAGACACCAGGAAACATTTATAACCATTTCATAATAACTTTCTGTGAGGGAGCTTGTAGAGGCATTAAATGCTTCAGAAGTCTGGTTCTTATCAACAATGTGACTTCTCAAGTTTCTCTAGAATTGAACGCTTCACATGAAACCATTCTGAACGACCCTGTTTACTGTTTAATTATGCAGAAGTTTTTTTTAAAAATCTGCAGAATTCCCCTCTAACCCTATACCTGTTATTCAGTTATTAATCTTAGGATGTATTCAGTGACTACTATATATTATTCAGTAGCCATTTTGACACTAAAATGTATGTTATGAAGTTATGAGAGTGAGGAACTGAAGCGTAGGCCTACATATGGGCTTTTAGGCTTCCATGACATTTAGCAAGCCATTCAAAAGGCTTTGGAGTGCTTATCTTAACAGGTCATAATAGGCAAAGCAAGCAATGAATCCACTGTGAGATTCAAAAATATCATTTAACATTGCATTACATGGCAAAATCTACTGTAATTTTGCATGAAATTGCATTTGGGGAAAAAACATCATAAACAAGCACAATGACAGAAATGCGTAAACTCCATGATGGGAAGTATGGTGCAATACACAGTGGAATGGGCCTGCGGTTGAGTTCTTCAACCAGATGATTCCATTAGTTTATCCATTACTGCGGTTGTTTTGGAGACATGCAAGTGTCTTCCTCGAGGAGCATGCAAATTTACAAACTTAAGCCAGAAGCAGATGGCCTGCTAACTTGAGTGCCTGCAACTCCAATGTCCTTATAAAGCTAAACCAGGCAGACAGAGCAGACAGCTATATTAGTTGTTAAATATGGACAGAGCTGGTGCCACAAACAGTGCTTGGTGGAGCACTTGGCTGCGAGGGGTAACAATCTGGTCCAATACTACAGCAGCTTCCCACTCATGCTCAACTCCAAATGCGCACAGAACATTGCTAGGGGAACATGTCTGCTGTGGTCTGTCACAGCTAGCCAAACATTTCCTGCACAGTAAGAATGTTCTC